GAGTATGACTTAGATGCACATTTGATTGGGCTTTTACAAAAAGTATACACAAAGAATAAGGTTGTTATAACATGGGAAGCAGAAATAACAGAACCGGCAGAAATAAAAGGAGGACTCGGGCAGGGTTGTCGCCTATCACACCTACTTTGTATGATATACCCGAGTAGAATGAAAAAGAAATGAGAAGAGTGCAATTTAGGTTTTGATGTGTCACATATGGAGAGAGGGAGAAATGTAAACCAAGTTATACCAGGGAATGTTCTCCGCAGACGACATTACTGTTAGAAGATAGCCGGGATATGTTACAGGAGCTGACTAAGATCTGTGGCGAGGAAGGAGATTCACTGGGTCTGGAATTCAGTAGCGACAAGTCTGGGATAATGGTCTATAACGATGAGAAGGGAGAAGCGCTGAAAATTCAAGAGGTTTCAATAGAACACGGAGGGAGGTATCAATACTTAGGAGTATGTCTGAATGAAGGGAAACGGTACTTAGAAGAACGGGAAGAAAATATGCTAAAGAAAGGAAAGAGGAATGCAGCAATGATGAAGAATAGGGCACTATGAAATTACAATAGATATGAAGTTGTTAGGGGAATATAAAAGGGAGTCATGGCGCCGGGGTTGTCTTTTGGCAAAGCGGTATTATGCATGAAATCTGCGGTCCAGTCAAGCTTAGAGACCCGGCAGACAAGTGTGGATAGAGTAACACTGGGGGCACATGGGAATCCACCAAATGAAGGAGTGCGGGGAGACATGGGCTGGACATCTTTCGAGGCTAAAGAGGCTATCAGTAATTGAAATTTGAACAAAGGCTAGACACAACTGAAGATACACGATGGGCGAGAAAGGTATATAAGCATCTATACATGAAAAGTCTGAACACCAAATGGACAAACCAAACCCGAAAACTGATACTCAAATACCAAGTCAAGTGCTGGTGCAGAGCAGAACACCTATGTGAACAAGGAAGTGAAAGAAGCCGAGACAAAGATGTGGGAGGAAACAATGCAGGGAAATTCAGCCTTAACTATGTATTAGGGACGAAAACAGGAAATAAGGAAAGAACATTGCTTTAATAATTCACGGGGGAGCTCGTTGTTACTTGAGGCTAGAACGGGAGTATTAAGCATGAGGAAATGGATAAGCGCAGTGCCGTATGCCAAAGGGAAGACCAGCCAATAGGGAGTTTTCGTAGATCGTTTCCACCGTCGCGCGACGTTTTCCGCAACTCGTCCCGATCCCGGGAACTCTACCGTCAAGGCCATCGGCGCGCAGGCGCAGTGGGGGGAAACGCGGTCTACGAAAACTTCCTAATAGAACACGTGGTGTTGAGGTGCACAGGAATTACTCCCGCCCTCCCGGAGGGGGTGACGGATTTAGCCAGAGCGCTGGGGATTGCAGACGAGAAAGTGCATTTTAATAGCAAAGAGATTGAAAGACTGGTGGAAATTTTCTAGGGAGAATCGAATGACGTACAACTAACTGACACAGCCGGGGAAAGTAGGGGCAGAAAAAACTTGGGGCTCGCTTCGGCGTCGCCGTCGGCGTAACCGCGCTAAATTTAGCAGGAAAATTGGCGTCACGTGACCTCAACACCAATTCAATTCCCCGCTATAGCGGAGAAACTGAATTTGTTCATAGGTGACGTGACACTGCAAGTCATGTGACGTCATTTTCCCCACTAAATTTAGCGGGGAAACTGAACAGGTGTTGAGGTCACGTAGCGTCAATTTTTCAGCTAAATTTAGAGGGGAAACTTGGGAGGAGCGGAGGGTATAGAGGTGGAGGAGGAGGAAACGAGGAGGAGGGGATTGAGGAGAAGGCACGAAGGAGGAGCAAGGGCATACCATCCCCTCCGTACCCTCCCCTACTTCTCCTCAACAGCTGCGCTGTAATTTCGCATTACAAAAATTTGTAAACGTTTTTTTTTTTTTTTTTTCCCGATCCTTTACAGGTTATTCTGGTGATATTCCACACCGCCTGGTGATAGTTACGAAATTGGAAAGGGTAAGCAAAGTGGCGAAGTAAAGAAATTACATTAGAATGGCATGTTGGGCTAGTTGGTTCATGATAACTTTCAGGGCGCCGAAAATACACAAGGACAAGATACAAGAAAGGAGACGTGAACAAGGCGCACTCGCAACTAGCGTTTATGGAAAAAACCACTCTCTTATATACTCATGGCAAACAACACAGTCATACTACACAGTCATACTACGTCCGGTGTAGCCCTCTTCGTAGAAAAGTGTGCTCTTTTGCCGATAGTGACACAGACGTGTCACTAATGCAGTCCTTGCCTTTTCTTTTATTTCGAAGGCCTCGTGCAGCTCCCTCGATATCCGATCGGCGTATCTGGCCAAAAACCTTGTGTCACTAAATGACGGTGTGCAGGAACAACGGCTGCAGTGCGTGGCGAGGTGTCCCGACGGGGTATAGCCCGTGTAGCCGCAGCATGTTCGCGGGCGCGATCATTAAAGCATCTGCTCGTTTGGCCAATCTACGATGATCCGCATGACATGGGGATTTCGTATATGACGCCCGTGGCATATTCCGTTTACCTGTTGCGGTGCTTCGTATTGCAAGGATTTGCGGACTCACGGGGATTGTTGATTCTGCGACACAGTCTCGATAGTTCGTTTGGTGCGGAGAACACAATAGGCACATCGTACCTATCCGCAACCTTTTTAAGATTGTTGGGTTAGTGAGTGTACATAGGGGATTACCACCGGCCTCACTGCTGCTCTTTCACGGGGCTGCCTCCGTGTACCTTTAAACTTTTTTATTAGGGTGTCCGCTACATACACCAGAACTCTCTGCGGGTAGCCCACTTTTTGCAACCTCGCTGCCTGTCTCGTGAAGCTCGTTTGAGCGGTGTGTGCACATGATCTTCTTAGTGACACCTCGAGACAACTAGATGCAATTCCTCTTTTTACAAGTTTCGAATGGGCCGAGCTGAACGGAAGGATGCCCTCCTTAGAGCGTGGCTCATATGTCCAGCATATGTGATTTTCTTCAAGACTTAGCCTAAGGTCCAAGAACTGTATATGCCCGTTCACTGGCTCTTCATGCGTGAACGACAACCCATCCCCGCATGACCCAAATATGTCAAGCACTTCTTCAACCCCGCAGCTCGGCGCGTCAGCGGGTCTGCCGAGGACAAGAAAGTCGTCCACATATCTGAAGATGCGACACCGGTTCGCGTCGCCCAACCTCTCGGCAATCTTTCTTCCGCACACACTTAAAACAATATTGGACAGTATCGGCGCAACACAAGACCCAATGCATATTCCCCTCTTCTGCGCCTTGTTCACGTCTCCTTTCTTGTATCTTGTCCTTGTGTATTTTCGACGCCCTGAAAGTTAAAGAAATTACACTTTTGGTTCTTAATTTCTAGGCAAGGTGGCGCAAGCTACCGTCCGTAATAAAGGGTACAGCCGTTAGCTTCCATCCATCCTTCCATTTATTTGAATTGCGCACGTTTCGAGAAATGCCTAAACATTCAGGCACGTCATAGATCAAGGGAAGAAATGCGCTGAAAGACAACAGGAATGTCGTCTGTGGTAAACTTCTTCGCATCCATCAACGTAACAAATCAGTCAAACGTCGTTTATATTTTTTTCCTTTGTAAATGTTGATTAGTAGTAATTGCTAGCTATACAAAAATCTGTCATAGCAAATTTGGCAAATTAAAAAAAAAAAAAAAACCCTACGGGCATTGCGAACCAATCGGAACAACGGAGGCGAACCACGTGGGAACTTCCCACAGGAGAACTGAACGTTAGATCCTCGCATGCTTCGCTTCATATACCTAAAAAAAAAAAAAAAAAAAAAAAAAAAAAAAGTTTTTATTTAGAAGTGATTTGGTTACATTTCGGCTAACTGCTTAAAAACGTTTTTGAACAGAATTTGCAACCTGACGGCCGGCAGCACACGAATGCGCACATGCACAAAAAAAAAAAAAAGTTGAGATAGATAGCGATTATAAATTATCATAAAGGCATAATGTACCACTACCACAAACGCAGATAACACTTCAAAAGATTAACAGTGAAACACCTCTAATTTTGAAATCTAATTTCTCGAAAAACACGCACACCCATCTTATCAAAAAAAAAAAAATAATAATAAACGCAATAAAACTCGAGTTAATACAACGGAAGTCGATCATAGTGCACAACAAAATAATGGCGAAAAGGGAAATAAAGAGCCGCCAAAACAAATTACATCTATGCATTAATATTATTATTATTATTTATTTAGAGCAAGGGTTAGGGCATCATTATGACAGAAACGGACGTTACTGGAGCTAAAAGAAATTGATATGGGCCCTGAGAGGAACATGTTAACGCAGCAGCATTCTGGTGAGCAAAAACACGGCTCGCGAATGGCACTAATCGATGGGGAATTAAATCTGTGCTTCTCACCAAATTGGTGCAGTCGTCATTTATTTATGCGTATATATGTGTGTGTGTGTGTATGTGTATGTGTGCGCGTGCGTGCGTGCGTGTGTGTGCGTGTGTATGCATGTATGTTGTGTGTGTGTGTGAGTGTGGTTATAGGGAGGAGAAAAAAATGGAGTGAGTCACGAACAAGTGTTCCAGATGAGTCAAAGTTCTCATTTAAAAAAAAAAAAAACAACACCAAAAGGGGAAACAACCTATTGAGGTAGCGACAATACATTCAAACGGCTGGTTCTATTTCTGGGAAACAAACGGCGTGTTTACCTTACCGTACATACTCCTTTCAATCTCAGCGGACATTACACGCACACAAAACAAATAAAAACTCAACAGCGGTTAGCCAGAAAAAAAAAAAAAAAAGAATATAAACAACGAACACACACATGTCGGTGCAACGCCCTGCGGCGGGGTACAAGGTGAAAAACGCGGTGAACCATATATGAACGGTCATGGGAAGGATTTCACGCGACTGAGACGGGAAACTTCAGAAAATTCACGGGGACACTCCACCAGCTCTCTAGAGGCACCTCCGGAAACCTCAAAACCAGCCCGTAATCCAAGAAGTCACACTGTCCCAAGCGCTCGATACAGCCGTGGTAACCGTGTTCCAAGCGGAGGTGATTGCGCATCCAGCATCGTCGAAGAACTTTTTCGTTTTACCCCAGATCGTAGACGGAGTCTCGTTGCTGCCGCAACCATCCCCACTCGTTTCCTGGTTGTCACCACCGACGGTAGTGGTATCGTCAGTGACGATGCTCTCCGTCACATTGAAATCAACGTCTGCACTTCCCGTGACCTTAGCAGACGACTCGGTCGGCGCCGAGGGGGGTCTCTCAAGCTTATTGACCGGCTCAAACTCCGCGGGTAAGGTTAGTCCTAGGACGCCGGCTAATCCACTAGGATAAAGTCTGACTGCCACTTCTCCGCCGGCATCAGCAACGCCGACAACTTGATCGGCCTCAGCAAGGACGCTCCCGTGGTTCAGCCGAACTTCGTAGCGACATACTCCGTCGCTCGTGAGCAGGCACCATGTCTTCAGCGACTCGTCTGCGTCGCTGCTGAACACCTTGATTTCGCAGAATTCTTCAGCGTCGTGAGAACCGCCGTCGTCTCTGAAGACGATGTCGTACTTCAGCGGAACAGAGGGCACGGCGTGGAGTTCAGCATCCGCGCAAAGCTGAGTGGTCACGTCATCGCTCGTGGTAACCTGGAGGTCGACGGTGAGCGTGTAGGGGCTACCCTGGTACACCGGGCGGTAGAAGACAACGGCTTTCGATGACGTCACCGGGACAACCAGAGTCGGATAGTGGCCGCACAGTGACGTCACGGGAGGGTCTGCCACGTTGCCGTATATTTCGACTGGGCATCCGGGTATCTCTCCATCGTCGATGGCCGTTATGTCGTTGACGAAGAAAAGGAGACCAGAATCTCCAGGGGCTACGAAGGTGAACTGGCAGTCGATGACATCATCCTGTGACGTCACGTTCTGCTGAATGAACAGCGTGACTTGCGTGGAGTGAACGTGAAAGGTTCCGGAACACTGTTGCGGAGCGGTGATGATGTCCTCGGTGTCACACCGCCGGACTGAGCAGAGGACACCAACGATGGACACAATCAGCGGCATCCAAGAGGAACGTACCATGATGTGACTTGGAGATCCAACTACCGTATCTCGCTCACCGATTGCGACAGCGAAAACGAGCAGACGATCCTAACAACCCGACAACTAAACGACCGTGACGACGGCAGTGCGGCTGTTTTGCGCTCAACCTGTACCTTCCGCGTGTGCGGGCCTGGTGCGTCAGGCAATCCGACCGGAAACAACGCTGCTGCTTGCTAGAGAACAAAAGGAATGCGCGGTGCAGGTACTGCAGACGAACAACTAACGTGTTCTCTCATTGCCAATGGACCATTTGCGAAAATCCGAAAAGCCCTCGCGCGAGGCCCACAACGAATTGTGAGAGCTAGCTGTCAGCTGAGGGTTCCTCTTGGTTCCGCAGCATATAGACCACCGTGATACAGGAAAGAGTGGAAGAGAGAGGGCAGCGCATTTACCTGCCGGCCCTTGCACTACCCTCCGTTGTCTGCTTCTCGGCATCTGCATGAGGGCGCTGCATGTTTTACAAAATGCCTACCGGGCAACCAGCGCATCTAGAAAACAAAAGAAGAACTGTCGTCCTCTGATTTATTTCTGTCCATTCGAGCACTTACAGCATTACCTCAGTGGTATCACTAAAAAAAGTATGAACTAAAAAAAAAAAAAAAGGAACGAGTCGCGAATTGCACTAGCCGAGGTCGTAGAACATGTGCAGTCGCAATCACACATGCCCAGCCTACTTTCGGCATAGTAGACTCTTTCCATGTGCTCTATGCTTTCGTAGCAGTGTCTGGTCATGTCTATGAATCCTTTCGAAAAATTACGCCATCTTATGGTCTATATCTGAATATATATTGCACAGGGCGCGCGCAAGACACCATGGCAAATCTATCAATTGTATACAGTCTCTATGAGGTATTATATCAGTCATTCATAGACTCGCCAGCTTGTTGGTGTTTCTTGCGCACGTCACTTGCAGTATTTTCAGATTGACCGTACGAAGGCGTAATTTTCAAAGGAGTCTGTATCCCAAAACATCTGGGCCACATCATCGGTTCACATAAATACGCCAACGTTCTATTACATTTCAGTCAGCGTTGGCTGCGGCTGTAGACGAGCCAAAACTTTTACCATGACAACACCAAAAAAAAAAAAAAAAAACTTAATGGCATAGCGACAACACAATTAAGCAGCTGGTTTCACTCCTGGGAAAGAAACGAAATTTTTTACCTGTACTGCACGAAATGAGAGCTTTAACATCGGTTAGCTGGAAAAACCAAAAACGCGTAAACAAAGCTAAGCCGGTCCAAAGCTCACGCCTGCAGCCGGGCAAACGCAATCCGCTACGTGAACGTTCCCCAGAGGATTTCTAGATGAGTGCAGCATGAAATGTCAGGAAATTCGCAGGCAAAGTCAACGAGGGCATCTCACCACCAGCTCGTAAACCAGGAAGTAACGCTGTTCCAAGCACTGGTTACAGCAGACGCAACGGTATTCGCAGCGCTCGTAACCGCAGATGCCACGACATTGAAAGCACTACTGACTGCCGATGTAACCGTGTTCCAAGCGGAGGTGATTGCGCATCCGGCATCGTTGAAGAACTTTTTCGTTTTTCCCCAGATCGTAGATGGAGTCTCGTTGCTGCTGCAACCATCACCACTCGGTCCCTCGGCGTCATCACCGACGGTAGTGGTATCTTCAATGGCGATGCTGTCCGTCACATTGAAATCAACGTCTGCACTTACAGTGACGTTAGCAGACGACTCGGTCGGCACCGAGGGGGGTCTCTCAAGCTTATCGACCGGTTCAAACTCCGCGGGTAAGGTTAGTCCTAGGACGCCGGCTAATCCACTCGGATAAAGTCTTACAGTTACTTCTCCGCCGGCATCAGCAATGCCGACAACTTGATCGGCCTCAGCAAGGACGCTCCCGTTGTTCAGCCGAACTTCGTAGCGACATATTCCGTCGCTCGTGAGCAGGCACCATGTCTTCAGCGACTCCTCTGCGTCGCTGCTGAACACCTTGATCTCGCAGAATTCTTCAGCGTCGTGAGAACCGCCGTCGTCTCTGAACACAATGTCGTACTTCAGCGGAACAGAAGGCACGGCGTACAGTTCAGCATCAGCGCAGAGCTGAGTGGGCACGTCATCGCTCGTGGTAACCTGGAGGTCGACGGTGAGCGTGTAGGGGCTACCCTGGTACACCGGGCGGTAGAAGACAACGGCTTTCGATGACGTCACCGGGACAACCAGAGTTGGATAATGGCCGCACAGTGACGTCACGGGAGGGTCTGCCACGTTGCCGTATATCTCGACAGGGCATCCGGGTATCTCTCCATCGTCGATGGCCGTTATGTCGTTGATGAAGAAAAGGAGACCAGAATCTTCAGGGGCTACGAATGTGAATTGGCAGTCGATGACATCATCCTGTGACGTCACGCTCTGCTGAATGAACAGCGTGACTTGCGTGGAGTGAACGTGGAAGGTTCCGGAACACTGTTGCGGAGCGGTGATGATGTCCTCGGTGTTACACAGCCGGACTGAGCAGAGGACACCAACGATGGACACAATCAGCGGCATCCGAGAGGAACGTACCATGGTGTGACTTGGAGATCCAGTCACTACATGTCGCTTACTGATTGCAACAGGGAAAACGTACAGGCATTCATAATAACCTAACAATAAAACGCCGCGACGGCGACAGCGAGGCCGTTTTGTGCACTAGCTGTACCCTCGGCGGTGTGCAGGCCCGGTGCGTCAAGCTTTACGACCGGAAGCAGCGCTGCTGCTGGCTTTAGAACGAAGAATATGCGGCGCAGGTACTGCACACTCATAATCACTATGTACGCACGCACTGCTTTCTAGGCATCGCCGTGTGATACCCTCAATATTTTTTTCTGACCCGTGGATATGCTGTGTTCTATAGTTGACGTATATGCGGTTGGATTCGCAACATGAACAAACTCAACAGATTGTAATTAAACAAAAGCCTCAATCCGTCGTATAACCTAGAAGCGAGCATCGAATGAATCATCAAATGAACGAAACAAAATAACGGTTCACAAAGTTTTTTTTTCTTTTTTTCCCGCGAGTCGTAGCGGCTGAGCTTATACAAAGGAATCATGTTGTTGTTCATTGGTTTCCTAGAAAGGTCGGGATATATAAATGTCAATCAGTTGTCCTTGAGATACAGACCTCGACGACCCAAAGTGCTGTGATAGCATTAGAGTACCTAGATAGCAAACGTAGACAAGGTTTCCAACTTTTTGTCTTTGACCATATCTCGTGTTTGAGCACGGGAGGAAGTAAACACACCTCAGGCTAGAAGATGATTGCGAAATGTACACCTGAACTTGACAGGTCCACCGGGGCAACCTAGAACACGAAACTCACACCAACTCGCTCTATGCACGCCATCTTGAATATGACGTCATCTAACTCATCTCCCAGCGAATCTCCTGCCAACTTTTAGATGTCTCCGTCCCGTTGCCGAAGTGCACCCTGTTTTGTGTAAAAGTGGGAGAGGAAATGGACCAAGACCCAGGCACACGCAGTGTGCATCGGCCATTCTAAAGTGAAGCAGATTTTTCAACCGAGCAGCCATTTTGTTAGTACAAAAACGTCTTTAGAGGCGGTGGTCAATGAAAATGCGGAGCAGCGCGCACTTTATACTACAGGTGGCAGAACGCTGCACACGGTGATACACATTGGCACTGGCAAGATGGCGGCCCTGGGCTAAGAAGTGGCGTAGCCAGAATTTTTTTTTTAGAGGGGGGGGGGGGGGTGGGGGGTGGGGGGGGGGGGGGTGAGGGGAGCGGGGGTTAAGGTGGCAGTGACGATCACAAAAATAAATAAATAAATAAATACATTTATACACGATTTATCAAGAGAAGCACTTGCCTTTACTTTAAACTATGATCCCTACATAGGAAAGCGCACAGGAGACTCCAAAAACTCAATTGCAAACGAAACATTTTAATACATGGCTAACAAAAACAGAAACAAGTTACGATGGACAAAGATTTGAACATAACATAGAGAATAAAGAGGTTCTGATACATACAGCAAAAGGGACAGTGCAAGTGAACAACTTTCCTTGATCTGCCCACTGCAAAGGCGTTCGTAGACCGAATGAACGTTCTACAAAAAAAAAGTGAGCTTCTAATATTCTTTGCGATATTCATAATTTGAACAATTACATCTACACGAGCTTTCCTAAAAAGTGAAGCACCAGTTTAAACAAAACGTTAATAACGCGAAAGTCGGTTCATGCACTTAACTGCGCAGAGATGTTATCCCTAAGGGGCCTCCATGGTCATTCCTACGCTTTCCACTATCAGAGAAACGAAATGACCAAAGCATAACACCCCAACACCTTATTCTTGCGCAAGAAAGGTACACTTTTTCTTTTCTCCAGTTCTTGAAGCTCACTGGAAAACGGCATGGGATGAGGAACTCTCCTTTTCTCGTAACTTGGAAAAGGGGCGACGGCTACGGCCTAAGCTCGCCAATCAAAGCGTTTAAAAACGTCACACGTGGCAACGGAATGTCTGACTGTGCTCCTCCTGTGCAGACTCGCCACCGATTGGTTCACTGAGGCAGTATCCTATACGCCTTTTGTCAAGTCCAGCTGCGATTGATTTGAAAGACCAGGAAACTGCTCAAGACGCCCACAATTTCGGGCCGAGATTTAAATCTGCGTCTCTGGATGCGAAGGCCAAGTTTTCAAGCCTTTTTTTCAAGCCTTTTGTAATGCCGTGCGCCGAGCTCCAGCGCTCCCCCCGAGCTTGCGGAATTCGGGCACTCTGGTTGGCGATAACTTTTGAGCCAGCCGAACATAGGTCTCCCGTCCGGATCACATTATCTTTGGCGTTTGAGCCAAAGCGTCTAAACTCTAAACGCGTGGAGATTGACTGCTTTCGAAGAGGCTGCAAGCCGAGGTATGAAAGAAATAGCGAGAGCCCGAATGAGAAAGCAACGGCGGCGGCGGAGGCAGCGAAGGCAGGAGGGTACGGTTAAAATTTCGAAGGGTGCTCCGACACCCGAACATCCTTCTTGGCTATGCACCTGCCGTGCTTCAACGGGCGTCTACTATCATGATCAAAACAGAAATCGGTGCTACCTAACCAGGATTTCCCTCCGCCTCTCGGCCTCTTTCGAATTCTCTCTCGAACGTACCTCACATGTAGTGACGTCTTGGAGAAAGACAAGAGTCTAACTGACCACAATGTTTTTACTTTTTATTAATATTTAAAAGTCGTCCCTCGTTCATTCGCACATCCCAACAATCATTTCACACGAACACTACGGCATACTATAGGTTATACACCTACATATGCGTCACAACAACCCAAATGGGCATGCCGACGAATTTGCATATCTGCCAACGATTCCATCAGAACCAGCTCCAGAACCAAGACTTGATGCTGTAGCTGGTGAACACCATTGTGTACTCAATAGTCCAAATCCAGGTTATTGTGCTATCCCAGAACGACTCGTCCTCATCATCGCTGTCATGGTGGCCACCATGCTCCCACTCATCATCATCATCATCATCATCGTCGTCGACGTCGTCGTCATCATCATCACCATGGCCATGGCCAGGTTTATCATGACCATGACCAGGTTTATCATGATCATGGTCACCATGATGATCACAGTCGTCATGGTTGCCACCATCAGTGCTGCCGTGTGTAGGTGGGGTACTCACATCCTGACCATCGTCGGTCATGTTTACATCAGAACCATCGCTCGTCTCAGTTGTTGCCACAGGCATTTCCGTTGCGTTCGGCGGTCTCTCAAGACTGAACACAGGCTCAAAGTCCCCAGGTAAAGTTAGGGCCAGAACCCCAGATAAGCTTCTAGGATGAAGTCTGACCGTAACTTGGCCCCCAACCTCGGCCAGACTGATCAGACCAGGAGCTGGATCAAGCTGGCTCCCGTTACTCAGCAGGACCTCGTAAGAACAGTCACCCCCGCTCGTAAGAAGACAACCTGTCTTCAAGGTCTCATTGACGGCGTTACTGACCACCTTATAGTCGCAGACTTGTTCATCGTCGCTCGCACTTCCGTCGTCTCTAAGCACGACGTCATACTTGACCGGAACCGACGGAACAGCATGAAGTTCAGCGTCAGCGCAGAGCACACTGGTGTCATCATCACTGCGGGTCACCTGGAGGTCAAGAGTAAGCGTGTACGGACTGCCCTGGTACTCTGGACGGTACGCGACGGTGACTCTGGAAGAGCTCACTGGGATGACCGCCGTGTCGTAATGGCCACACAGCGATGAAACCTGCTGGTTGTCCCCGTCGTAGATCGTCACGGGGCACCCTGGTATTTCGCCGTCATCGATGGCGGTGATGCCGTTGGCGAAAACGAGCAGACCCGCACTTTCGGGGGCCTCGAAGACGTACTGGCAGTTGACCACGTCGTCCCGTGACGTCACGCGCTGCTGGACCAGGAGGGTCACTTGCGTCGAGTGGACCTTGAAGGTTCCCGAACATTCTTGCGGAGCCGTGATGGTTTCTTGGCCCTGAGCTTCTCGTGTTGAGCAGAAGAAAGCGACGAATAGAATCGCGAGTACCGAAGGAGGAACGGTACACGTCTTCATGGGAGCCATGCTGATGACTAACTGAAATCGTCAACCACTTATACGATAGGAGAAAAACATATATAAAGAAAACGATGCCGCGTGTTTGCTTCAGCGGTGGGGAGGAACACCTGTGCGCTCGCTCATTTCAGGGGCAGTGAAAACAAGACAAAGCAAAGCACCGCGATTTCCTACAAATTGTACTCGTACCAACCAGAGTATGGTACGTGTACGCGTGCGGCACTCGTTTTGCTAACAGGAAATGAGGCTGCGAGCTCAAAAATGAAAGCAAACAACAAAAAAAAAAAATAGTCTACGCTGTCCACTTTGTTTCCTGCGGTTGCGGACACTTGCATGGTGTCGCGGCGCTGAAGACAATGTTGGCAGTCGAACAAGGTTAGCGTGCGTGCGACCGCGGCCACGTATAGCTCTAAGTTACGCAATAGCCCATTTCGAAAGATACACGCTATGTACAGTGCATAACCATTCCGGCGGTTGGCGACACGCAGCTGGAGCGGAACACAAACTCCATATATGCTCTCGTACTGGGAAAAAGGAAAAACCAACAAAAACTGTGCATCAGGCGTTTGCAAGCTCTATTTCAGGGCTGATAGAGTGACCCTTGAGATTACATGCATGTCTAACCCGTTTTGGGAAGTACTTTACATTGTACTTCAAGTACTAATTCAAGTACGTGTAGAAAACTTGTACTTGAAGTACATCCTCCGAGTATGTATTTGTTCTTTAGTTAAACTATTTTTCTGCTACGTTTGAGGAAAGTACAACTCCCGACTTCAAAGTACATTCCCCGAATTCGGCCTTCTTAAAATTTTATCATAAAATGATGATTTGCCAACAAATAAGTGCGTTATAAGTAGATTGTGTTAACTAGTTAGTCAGTGAGAGTAAAATAAGTACTCTGTGGCCATTTGACCTTATCCAATATTCGCCGCCATGGGGAAATAACTGATGCACCCCCAATTAGCTCTAAAGTAATAATGCATGTCGGTAAGCACACGCAGAGACACACACACAGACACGCGCACGCACGCACGCACGCGCGCGCACGCGCACACAAACACACACACACACACACACGCACACACTCACTTTGTATTGAAGAAAGGACATCATGAAAAATTGTGTTAAAAAGTGCCGGTACTTTACTTTGAAACTTCATTGTATTTATAGTACTTTGTGCCGGCTGTACTTACTAATTTACTTGAAGTACATAAATTATAATTTTCTTTGCACTTCGAGTACACTTATTCTAGATGTACTTTACCCAACACTGTGCTGACCCCACCATCCCAACTTGTTAGGGCAGCGCTCGCTGGAGGTCGGCTTCGGCGCAGTACCTCTTGCCATTCGTAAATTCAAACAATGTACAGGATAATACGTTGGCCTGTAGTCGAACACAAATGCGTCGTACGCGAGAAAATACTAGTTTCTGCAACGAAACACTCAATTTCTGTCTCTGCATAAACTAATACAAAAAAAAAAAAAAAAAATACACAAGCGCCGCGGCTTTTGCCGCTGTGAAATGATATCGAAACGTGGGTGCTTCAGGCAAGGTGTTTAGCATAGCGTCACGGCCTCCAAAGGCGGGACGTGACACTTCATTTTGACGTTCTGAAACCCAAAGACACGCTTCGCGTAGTTTACAAAGCCGCCTGAAGCGACATTTGCGTCGTCTGCTACCGAGTCCGCAGACAGTTGCCCAACCGACGAAGGCAAGGTACTTACACAACATCGTTAGCTTCGAGGCACATGTTGCAAGTTTCTCATGAAATTCGAAATAAGCACAGAATTTCCCAAAACAAAAAACCTCCATGAAAACTTTTTTTTTCTTTTTTTTTTTTTGAGGGGTTTGGAACGTTTTGCAATTCTTATTAAACTACTGCGCACCATAAGCATATTGTGCGGGTAGGGTACGTCTCAACTCCGAAACTGTACGGTGGGGTAATGCAGTTTTTTGCTCGGCAAAGGGTATTCCACGATCCGACGCATGGTACGATCCATATTGGAGCAGTAAAAACAACGTTTGGAGCGCAATCACATTCGCTCCATTGCGAATATTGTCCAACTAAACGACAGTGCCTTCATTCCGTTCACAACCATACATAGCAGACAGTAGTCGCCCATACCCGACAAAATGCATAATTAAAAAAAAAAAAAAACAAAAAAAAAACGGTTACGGTAACGGGGTTTTTGTGACAACTGAGTAGTACTTTTTCTCTGGAAGGCGAAAACTCTGCGACATTGTTAGCGCGAACGAGACATCGCCGATTTCCTACGCTGTTCTCTCAGCATTGAAGAACTGTCAACAAAACTACTGTGGTGCTGGAAAGTTGTCAGTTGGGTATACTAATCAAAGCGGTAAATTTTTGTGCCCGTTAGTACCCTTTCGAAATAAACTGCGAAAAAGCGCTCAAGTCGTGAGTCCGCTTGGACTCAAATAGTACCGTGACAAGTTGTGTTCGTCCCCCTTTCTTTTGGCTTCCATCTCGGGTTTTAGTGAGCCGAGTATTCCGGTGCACTGCTAGAAATTATGTTGTTCAAGCTGTCTGGACGCGATAAAACTGCAATTCTTCGTTCAGTGGAAACACAAACTTGCCCTATGTCCAACACAAACGCAATAGCTCGTTACGCTTGAATTAAATGTAAACGAAAGTTAAAACGGTTAAAACAGCGCGCTGAAAACAGGCCATGCCAAAGGCTACTTTTACATCTATGGTGTGCAACACGGAATGGCATACGTAGCACGAGTTACACCATCGGGTGAAACCGGCTCCCATCCATCGAATAAGTATGTATGTATGTATGCATGATTGGGCAGGCATCGCTCCATTGCCGACACGCGAAAATAAACAAAAACAAAGAAACCAATCATTCGCCTAACTCGAGCATAACAAAAGGCGCGAGGTCACGTGACAACCCGTACATAATTATATTGTCTGCTAGTCCAACGTACAAGACAATGACCAGACGCATGTAAATAAAGCGCCACAAAACTTAAATAAGACAAACTATCAATTTATCCAATACAGCATCTATGATATGTCTCTCAACAAATCTATAGCAAAAAAATAAAAAAATAAATAAATAAAGTTCTTCCGAATTCCGGGCTAGCCCACCATGACAGGTTTGGCGGAGAAGATTCACGTGGAAAGGCGGGAAACAAGCAGAAATGCTGAAGCACGGCCAACTTCGCCAGAGGCGGTTACAGGTCAATGGTAGCCGGTTGCGAGAAAAGGATGACCGGCCAATGTAGCCCCGAGGTTTCCCCCGTCAAGATGGCGAAAGTTAGGCTTTCACAGCGAGGATTGGAAGCATATAAAGTGACTTGCATAACAATTATACGAAAAAAAGAGCACGTGGCGTTTTATTGAAAAAAAGAATGCGAGTAATATAGTTTTAGCTCGCGTTTTATCAATAAGAGCAAAGCTACGATGTTGCAATTTGAAACAGTGCAAAACCTTAGACATACGTGCAGTTCATACTGCAAAATAAATACTTCAGATCGGAGTCGTTTAAACGCACAGTGACGGAGAACACAATTAACCACCACTGCAAGAAGAAAAAGTATACATGGGAGACGTGGTTGGGAAACCATCTAATCCCGAGTCCTCATACAAGGAAAAATAAGACGTCGTACAACACGGCACAAAGATCTGAACTACCCACATTGCGAATTCGAGGTTCCACAAAGCGGCGGATCCATAGCGGGTATCCGAACGAGATTCTTGATTTTTCTACTTTCCGCCGCGAGCTGGCATCTCGCGTTTCGCTCTTTCCCAACATCGGCCGCCGTACCCCTCCACTCTGCGGTTGTACCATCATCCGCTTGCCCTTTCCTACAGTCTCTCTAAAACGCCAACTGAATACACAAAAGCAAAAACAAAAAGAACCACCACAGACCGATGGAAGTTTCTCCTTTCAGCGTTCTCCTCACCACGCAAGCTCCTCCTCTTCCGACAAAGTTGGCTCCGAAGCTTGTGTGGTGGTAGAGAAAAAGGAAGTGCTGTGGCACGTTCGCTCGTCGTGGACATACCATAAATACGCTGTTGGGCCACTTCGGCCATACATTGCTGCCCCCAGCCGTCTTTAGAGCACCCAGTACTTTCTACGACCACATTCTGGTCACACCGCCGCGTAATCCGAGTGGTCTACATCGGGACCTGTACCCTTTTTTGCCCAATCCACCTCTCGCTGTACCCTTCGGGTAAGTTTTCGAGAGAACATTCGCTAGAAGTCGCGTAAGACGGCCTCATATGCCAAATTCACGGAGCCAGCCAGCCACCCCTCAGTGTTTTAGATAATTGCCACTTATCAACACGGATGTGAGGTTACTTGGTGCCACCCTGCACTTCCCTGATCGCAGAAGTATGATAAAGAGGGCTCGCTTCCACCCATTGTGCGTGTTCGTTATAACTGGCCTTGGCATCAATCGTGCTCGAACATCTTGCTTTTCTAAACTTTAGTGCGCGTGTGCCTGTACTTTCTCCCACTTTGCAGTAGGACATAAGAGGACAAGTTTCCAATGAGCGGCGACGGAAAAAACGGTTTTTGTGACGGGTGCGGCTGGCTTCATCGGAAGCCACACGGTCATCGAGCTCCTCAAAGCTGGCTACATAGTCATCGGAATCGACAACTTTGCCAACGCTGTTTCAGGTATTGTAACTATCAAATAGAAATTTGGCAAAAAGAAATACCGAGCGAACTGAATTTGAATCGCAGGCGAAAATGGGAAAGCGACAAGCCTCGAAAGAGCGGAGGAGCTTACTGGTCGGAAGATCACATTTTACCAGTGCGACTTGCTGGAAAAGGCTGCGCTTTCCAAGATATTTGATAAGGTGAGATTGGCTGAACTTGGATGGCTGAACATGGATACATGGACTTGCAAAACGCGCAAAGGTTTGTGGCGATACATATTTCGCTTGGCGTCTTTCTTGTAGCACAAGATCGACTTCGTCATTCACTTTGCGGCCATGAAAGCTGTAGGCGAGTCTATGCAGAAGCCGTTGTTCTACTACAA